AATACACAGAGTTTAGTGAATACTCAACATCCAAACTATAGCACCAGAAGTCAGCTCAATTTGATAAACAGTTTTACCAAAAAAATAAAAATAAAGCTACAGCTAGCCTTGTAATTAATGGAGGAAACCTAAATGCTTTTTCCGTAAAATATCAAGAGACAAGACAAGGATGTTGACTTTCAGAATTCTTATTCAAAATGGTGTGGGAAGTTCTAGCCATTGCAATAAGGTAAGAAAATAAAGAAAAGTGGGGGGCAGGGGTAAGGGATTAAGCAATTTATTTCCACATGACATGACGATCCACATAAAAAAAATCCCAGAGAATTAAAAAAATTCTAGAATGAACTGAGTTTTAGCAAGGTTAAAGGATAAATATAAACACACCAAAATCAATTGCTTTTCTATATACTAAAATATGAACTTAAGAAAAGCAAAATTAAGAGCATAATACTACTTATATTAATTCAAAAAATTAAATAATTAGGTATACACTTGACAAGTATAGAACTGTGTTGAAAACCACAAAATTATCATTAATGAAATCAAATAAGACGAAAATAGAGAAATACTATGCTCTTAGATTTGATGACAGAGCAAAAAAAGATCACTGCACTGATATACAGCTTTAACATAATTCCTATGAAAATTCTACAAAGGATTTTTGTAGAAATAGACTAGTTTATTCTAAAATTTACATGACTGGGCACACACCCTAGAATACATAACACTATCTTCATGAAGAATAACAAAGTGGGAGCAATGTTTATCTGATATTAAGGTTTTCTATACAGCTACAGTAATTAAGACAATGCACATGCCTGTAATCCCAGCAACTTTGGAGGCTGAGGCAGAAAGATCAGCAACTTAACAAGACCCTGATTCAAAATAAAAAGAGCTGAGGACGTAACTCAGTAGTAGAGCATGGCCAGAAAATGTCTAGCATGAGCAAAGCCCTGGGTTCAATCCCTAGTACTAGAGATAAAGATACTTTTGTGTGTGTGGAGAAAATATAGGAAAAAATTCTTCAGTTTTAGAGCTAGACAAAGAGTTCTTACACTAAAGGAACAGTTTATAAAACGATTAGCTGTTAAATAAAATTTTTAAGTTTGCTTTACAAAAGATGTTGTTGAGTGGAAAAAAGGCAGGCTGTTGACTTGAAGAAGATACATGCAAATTAAATTTCTGATGAAGGACTAATAATATCTAGACTATATAAGAACTAATGAAATCAACATTAAAAAAGGAAACACTCCAATAAGAATCAGCAAAAGCCACAGAAATACACTCCACAAAAGAATATATACAGATAAATATAAGTACTGAAGAGATCTTCACCATCATCAATCAGGAAAATACAAATTAAAATCACCAGATACTTCTACATAATTATCAGAATAACTAAATAGTGACAACAAATTCTTGAGCAGATATATAGAAATGGATGATATACATAGTTAGTATGAATATAAAATGGTAGAAATGGATTATATACATAGTTAGTATGAATACAAATGGTAAAGCCACTCTGAGAAAGTTAAATAACCATGTAACTACCATACAACCAGCAATTGTACTCCTGGATATTTATCCCAGAGTAATAAGCCAGGAATAAAATGTACACAAATCTATATTAGATTAGAAAACAATTCCTTTATGACAAATAGTATTACTAAGACAAATAAGAATCCTTTTATAGGGCTGGGATTGTGGCTCAATGGTACAGCACTTGCCTAGCATGTGTGAGGCACTGGGTTGATCTCAGCACCACATACAAATTAAAAAATAAAAGTACATTGACAACTAAAAAAATATTTTTTTAAAAAAGAATCCTTTTATAATGATAAAAACTTCACTTTACCAAGGATGTATAACATTCTAAAATCTGAATGCATCTAATAAGGTAACCTCTAAATAAATGCTTATCTACAGAAATACCAGAATATATTAAAAATCAATAAACACGTAAGATTTTAACTTGCTACTTTCAAAAATGCATAGAGGCAGACCAAAACAAATCTATGCCCTGAAATACAGAAAATAGAGGAAAATCCAAAAACCCTAGGAAATAAAAATAAACTAAACAAAACTGATTACCAAAAAAAAACAGAAAACTTATAAGAGCCATCCATTAGAAGAATGAGATTTTTTAAAAAGCAATAACACCCTCCAAAAATTAATAAACAGCAATAATAAGCCTGGGATCAGATTAAAATCACTGGAGTTTAGCAAATCTTTAGGAAAGAATACATCATTGTTAACCTCTTTCAAAAATATGCAAAATAAAAAAATAATTCCAAACTCATTTATTGAGGCTAGTATATATTAAATACCAAAATATGACAAAATATGAGAAAGAAAAATTAGAAACCATCTAACTTATGAACATGGATGCAAGACTCCTAAACAAAAATTTAAATACATATTATGTAAAACCAAGTGAAACAAAGTATTAATAAAATTAAGTATATATTAACATAAGTAAATATTAATATATAAGTAAATATTAATATATTAATAATATATTATATATTAAACACATATATTATTAATATATATTATACTTAATATATATTAAGTATATATTAATATATAAATAAAATTAAGTATATATTAATAAAATAAAGTATTAATAAAATTAAGTTTATAGCCAGGGATAAGAAGTTGTTTAACATTAAAAAATAACATTAGAAAATAACTGCAAATAAAGGCGAAAAAATCATATGAAAATCTCAATATATGCTCCAAAAAGTATTTGATAAAAATCAATAATATATTGAGAAAACATAAACTTTAGATATTATGTAGAATGGGCAAGATTTTCCCAGAGAAAAGACATCATTGTCTGAACTCTCTCTTCTTATTACAATACAATGGGTAAAATTCCATAAAAAGTCAACTGGGTACACCAAAGATAAGTCAAATGACCAAACAGCAAAAGAAAGGAAGGAAGCAAAGGAGAAAGGAACAAAGGGAGCAAGAGAAAATGAGAGGGACAGAGGAAAGACAGACAAGTTGGTTGCCATGGGGATGGGGAAGAAGGCAATGGAGAGCTAATATTTAATTTCCATTTTTGCAAAATAAAAAATAGTTAGAGATGGATGGTGGTGATGGTTGTACAACAATGTAAATATATTTAATACCATTTAAATGTATACTTAAAAAGGTTTAAGATGGCAGATTTTATGCTATTTTGCCAGTTTTAAAAATGACAATAAAATAGACCAGATATAGAAGTAATGGAGACTATAAATAAAATATTGATGGTTAATATTTTCAAAAGGATAAAAAATATGATTCTTTAAAGAAGAGAATTTAGGGCTGGGGATGTGGCTCAAGCGGTAGCACACTCGCCTGGCATGTGTGCGGCCTGGGTTCAATCCTCAGCACCACATACAAATAAAGATGTTGTGTCTGCCAAAAAAAAAATAAAAAATAAACATTAAAACTCTCTCTCTCTCAAAAAGAGAGAATTTAATCAGAGCATTGGAATCTTTAAAAGAATCAAGTAGAAATTTAGAAAGAAAAATATATGATTAAAGTTAAGCATTCAGAAGATAAGTTTGGAATAAATTGAATATAGCAAAAGCAAGATTAGAAGACAGGTCATTAGAAAATAACCAAACTGAAACAAAGAAATGGAAACACACATCTAGAAGATATATACATTTGGGAAATAAATAAAAGTGATTTAAATGAATATATTTCGGTGGTTATAAGTTTACAGAATCACACAGAATTATAGTTATTCATGACTAAGACTGTTTCCAGTTTATTTATATAGGATTAAGTATCAATTCATGTGTTCAAACATCTATTGATCTTCTATTATGCGCAAAGCAAAATGTTGGGCACTAGAGTTACACTTAAGATATTTAAAGAGACACAGTCTCTGTCCTCAAGACTCTTAGTCATAAGAGACAGAGGATAATGCTTAAAACATCTGAAGAGAGCTGGGGACATAGCTCAGTTGGTAGAGTGCTTGCCTCACATGCACAAGGCCCTGGGTTCAATCCCTAGCACCATAAACACACACACACACACAAAATGAAGAATGAAGAAGTGTTCACTACAACTGAGCCAACACATTTGAAGTAGAAAGTTCATTTGGGGTAAAGGAAGTAGTCAAAAATGTGGATGAGACAAGATCACAAAATGTAGCAAAAAGTTAATTTCAATATATCTACAGAATAGATACAGTAATGACAATAAGATAAAATTGGTAAGCACAGGCTCGAAGAAATAATTATCTGCCATGTAAAGAAGAGATAATGTTTTGAAGAATAAAAAAATAAATGCCACAGGTCCCTATGATGTTTTGGAAGATATATGGTGTCTCGTAAACTATACTATGCCTTCCAAATGTCCTGCCATGTGAACAAGTTTGAAAACTATTCAATAATATTCTCTATATATGCCATTACATAGAAAGTTTTTCATAAATGGATCCAACATTTCTTTTACAGTCTCATCTGAGTTCTCTAAGATGTAGTCACACCTGTAATTTTATCAAAATACCCTTTCATACTTGCACAAGCCATTTCTTCTGCCTACAATGTCTCTTCCAAGTCACTGTCTATTTACTGAACTATTAATCATCTATGGTATGGTTCAGTAACTTTTCTGTAATACTTTTCCAAATGTCTTCCTCTGGGAAAAATAGCTTCCTCCATATTACTCCCATGGAATTCATTTATTTATAATTTATGAGTACTTCATGTGTTGGATCCTGTTCTAAGCACTTGAAATCCATTAGTGAACAAAAAAGACATAGATCCCTATCTTTTTGGAACACAAAGCTGAAACTTTGGGGTAGGTTAAAAGCATAGAAAAGGGAAAAGGTTTACTTTGAAAACACTCCCCAAGTGATTCTATTATGACAACTGTTCCAACCTGGAATTACAGCACCAGAAAATAACTACAACAAACTTGTAAATAAAGTCAAAATTTTGATCATAACAAGGAATACATATGACACATTGCTATATTATGTAAATTCTTACTTGTCTTTTCCTCTAATTGATTAATTTTTTCTCTGGATTCCTCTAGCAGAAATGTCAAATCTTTCATTTTATCTTCTTTCTCAGCACTTTGGATCAGTAGTAGTGATAACTAAAATGAAATTTTTTTAAAGCGTTATGAACATCAATACCTTATGTACATGTATAAAGACACAAATGGTATAACTCTACTTTAAGTACAACCAGAGACATGAAGAACTGTGCTCTAGGTGTACTATGAATTGAAATGCATTCATGTCATGTATAACAGATTTAGAATAGATTTTTTTAAGTTATAGATATAAAAAATTATAGACATAAAAAGTTAAATGTGGCACCTAAGCCCTTATCTCGTGTAATTGTTTTATATACTTCTCTATATACTTTAGATGACTGTATGTACTGAGTATTTCATATATGCTTGCATAACATTTATTTTTATTAGGTTTATTAAAATTAATGAACAAGCTAGTATGAGATACCCAATGTTATACTATGCATTTCAAGTTATTACTGAGAAGATGGCATAATAGAGTGTACTGATTTGTTCATTCAATAGTATTGAGCACCAGAAACCATAAGTATTGCATATATGAATATTAGGAAAGTCATCTTCAAGGAACTCAGAGCCTAGATTGGGAGACAAACAACTACACTAGTAATAAGACGAAAGTGTTATAGGAATCATGAACACCTAAATCAGTCTTGGAGGAAGTAATCAAAAATTTATTCTCAAAAGGGCTGAAATGATAGATATGTAGCAATGAATCACGCAAACATTGGGATATGAGTATTCTAGGCTGAACACAAAGGATGGAGAGATCGTGCTTTATTCACATAACTGAAAATTATTCAGATGGTTAAAAGAGTATAGCATTGATGTGAAGAAAAGGTCAGAATTAAACCTATAAAAATAAGTTGAAGACTTCAAGATCCAAGATGACAAAAAGACCTTCTCTCCCCTTTTTTCACCTCCAAATCACCCAAAAATTAACTGGGAAAACAAGAAAAACAGATTTAATCATTTATGAAACCACCTGAGTCCATAAAGTTCATAAGCCACAACATATTTAAAAAAACAAAAAACAAAAAACAAGCAGTTGGAAGGAATGGACCTAGCTCAGAGAAGTAAAGTCAAACTAAAGAGACTGCATAGAAAAGTACTAATGAGAAGCAAAATAACTCACCTCAAAGAATGCCATAATGTTTCAAGAATTAGAGGTAACAGACACTGTATAGGTGAGTATAAAACAAGAGTCTAAGTACAAAGAAACTGAAGTCTGTAAAGAGTAATAAGTCCTCTCTAGGTTCAGTCAACCCTCCTACCCAGGACTCCACTACTTAACATCTACTGTAGTCAGAGAACTGACCCTACTCCATCTTTGCAAAGGAAAACAAGCATTATCAATTTTAAAAAATAGGAGTTGGAGGATGTAGCTCAGAGGAAGGGTGTGTGCCTAACATATGGCATCAGCCAAGTTTATATCCCCCCAAGCAGGAATTTAAAAAGCCACAAAAAAATTCTTACAAATAATATTTAGGAGTCCCATTTCAGGATGGGGGCAGGGCATCAGGATGAATAGGACATTAGCTGATCACCCAATCAATTTACAAAGAAGTCTAACAATCTCTAAGCACTATACATGTCTCAAGAACACCAAAAAGCTTTTTTAACATTATACTCTGTTTCTGTGCTTTTCATAATAAGCATTATTTTAACTTTTTGGCGGGGGGCGGGGGACACTTGGGCTTGAACTCAAGGGCACTAGGCCACTGATCCACATCCCCAGCCCCATTTTGTATTTTATTTAGAGACGGGGTGTCACTGAGTTGCTTAGTGCCTTGATCCAACACCTCAGCTTCCTGAGCCACTGGGATTACAGGCATGCACCGCTGCTCCCAGTTGCATTATTTTAACTTTTAAAAAGATTTTCTTCTTTAGGAAATCTGGTTTAAAAATAAAGATAAAATACAATTGCTAACAACTCTTTCAAAATATCTACACAAAAAAAAAAAATACTATCATTAAACCACAATTTAAAACTCTTTTAAGTTTTCTTTCTATACTTTAATTTTATTATTTAAGCATATATCCTTAACTGTAATATTTTATGTCAAATAAGAGGAGAAAAACTGAAAAAATAGTTGGAAATAAGATCCCTTTTTTATGTATCTCTTTTTATTTGCGAAGCAGAAGGCTTGAATGTGATATGTATGAATAAGGCTTAAATATATATGTGGCAAAATGATAATCTGAAACTGACATTCTTACAAATGTCAAAGGGTATAGACTTACCATTTTCAAGTCTTCCACTATATGATATTAATAGAAAAAAGCAACAGAATGTTTTAGTTTCTTTTCATTGGTGTCATGGATAGGAAGTTTCAAAATAAACTGTAAAATGTGAGTTGCATGGTCAATGATAATCTTTACATTTTATTAGGTTTTTTTAATCTGAACAAAATTTCTTATATTTTTGTAGCAATGTAAACCAATGTAAATATTGTATAAGATTCATTATAAAAAACCAAGCATTCAGTGAGTACATATTTAAGTCAATAAAAAATAAACTGGCTAAGCAAAAGAGTAAATATTTAGATACATATAATAAAATTCTCTCAGAAATTTATCATGTAGCCAGCAAACAAAAATATCTCTTGATATTTTAAGATTTTATGAAGTAACAAATTTTACAAAGAATATAGCATTATATATTTCAGAATACTTGAAATTTAAATGTACCCACCATAAAGAAATGATAAAAGTTTAGGTGATTAATATGCTAATTACTCTGCATTAATCCTTACCCAATATATATGAATTAAAATATCACAATGTACTTCATTAATATGTATAAATATATATATGTATAGAGACGGCAGAAAAAAATTTTAATTAATTTTTCAAAAAGAATATAGAGTTGGCTTTAAAAAAAAACCTGATTTTCCTTGTCATTTACTTCTTTCTTATATTCATCTTCAAGGTGCTGGATTTTTTCATAATCTTCCTTTACTTAAAAATAAAATAAATATGTGCAATGTCTTAACATAATTGTATTGAACTTTTACATTACAAACCAACTGAAAGATAATTTCACTTCCTTATCTCAAATTATATTAAACTCCAAAAATTTCAAAGAGTTAAAGCTGCTATTTTCTTCCTGCTTTGTTTAGTAAAAGTGAATTTAATAGCAAATTATAACTTAAAAATTTTAAATTCTTATAGTAGCATGTGTATATATCTTTTTTATAATATAAAAAGTTTTAGATATATAATTATTTTTAGATGTATACTTTACCAAGAAATATAAAAGACCAAACTATACTTATAAAAAAATTAATCCAAACCATAATAAGTTTAATTTCATGTAAAACACAAGTTTGTATATATGCATTAGGCAGTATGTATGTATGTATATATGTATGTATGGTACTGGGGACTGAACCCAGAACCTTGAACAAGGCAAGATTAATGTTCAACTACTGAGCTATACCTCCAGCCTTTTGTTTATTTTTCTTGGAGACAGGGTCTCACTAAGTTTCTCAAGCTGGCCTCAAACTTATAATCCTCCTTACACAGATTCCCCAGTAGCTGGGATTACAGGCATGTGCTACCACACCCAGGAAAAAATGTAGTTTTAAAACCAAAAAACATTTTTAACATACATTACTTCCCTGTCATATCCCACAAGATTTTGAGGGGCTTATAAAAAACAAAGACAATACAAAATGTAAAATAGTTGAGGGCTTCAAACTAAACAGATTAACATGTAAACAAAAACTAATAAAACTACAAATAGCAGAAAGAGTAACATAAAAATTAAGTAGGATTCCTACACTTAAAATGCATTTCCAGTCTGGAATTCTCAGCTTGAACACGAAGTTCCTCAAAAGCTATTATCATTTTCTGGAAGATAAAGTTTAACTTTTGAGAATCAGACTTTTGAAAAACCTTTCTTCAAACTTTGAAAATATTAATAAAATTTTAACATGTAATCATTGGATATAAAACCACACAACTTTGAATAATGAAAACCCTATAATTAAAATGATGAAATAACTTACTAACATGTATGAGGAAAGCTTATATTGTTAGTTTCCCAGATGCCTAAAAGCATGGAGACATGTTAGATAATACAAAACAGCAGCAAAATTTTGTTGGCATTATATTTAGTCACTTAATACTTCGCAAAATCAGTAATTTTATACTTGTTTATGCCTATTTAATTTCTCTCTTCCCCACTTAAGTGAGTCCTCTATAAGAATTGCCTGATAGAATGTGCTCACACAACATTCAATAAATCTTGCTTTATAAAATCAGATTCATTCATTCATTAAATATTTATTGAGTGCCTATTATGGGCCAGTAACTATTTTAGGCACTTGGAATATAAGACAAACTCTCTACCCTACTGGAATTGATGTATATTCCAGTAAATACACACATACACACACATGAACACACATGTATGGATTCAAATAAATGTCATGTAGTTTTAAATGCTCTTCAGAAAAGTTAAATGAGATGAGGAGACACAGAATAATTGAATGAAGACTTTTAGATTAATAGTAAGGTCAGGAAAACAAAAAAAACAGAATATAGTTTACAAGTGTACATAAGATATTGGACACAAAAGTTCTACACGGAGGGAACAAATTCAAAGAGACAAAATCAGAAAGTGCTCAGCAATGCTGAGAAACACCCTAGAAACCATCCCTAACTCCTGACAACTACCTAACTGCTCTCCATCTCTATAATTTTGTTATTTTGAGATTATCATATAAATGGAATCATAACAGATGACCTCTGGAGATTGGCTTGTCTCACTCAGCGTAATGTCCTTGTGATCCATTCAAGTTGTAGCATGTTTTGGTAGTTCTTTTGTATCACCTATGTATCAGTTAGGATGTGTCAGTTTTCATAATTATTAATTTATTGAGGGGTTTTGGTTTTTTTCCAGTTGGGGTTATTATAAATAAAATTGTTACGAACATTGAAAAGAGGAAGGAAGGAAGGAAGTTAGGTTGGTCAAGCATGGAGGTGCATGCCTGTAATCCCAGCAACTGGGAGCGGGAGGGTGTTGAGGCAGAAGGACTGCAAGTTCGAGGCCAGTCTCAGCAATTTAGTGAAGTCCTAAAAAACTTAGCAAGACCTTATCTCAAAATAAAAAATAAAAAGGCCTGAGAACATGGTTCAGGGGTTAAGTACCCCTAGGTTGAATCCACAGTACAAAAATTTTTTTTCCTTAAATACTAGGTTTTTTCCCCCTACATCATACATAGCATCAGGTCAAACTAGAAGCATGGGTTCCCCAGAATGTCTCTCATGGATAGCCTTAATATAGACAATTTGAGCATGGATATGTTCTGCAATGTCCTGATCACTAACCAGTACAACTTAATCCCTTTTACTTAATAGAGGGGAAAAGAGGGAAAAATAAAAAGACTATAGCAGGAAATCAAAATAGTGAATGATAGAAGATGAGACAACAAAGGGACACAGAAGTCAGACACAGATTAATAATACTTCATATGTTTTCAAATTAATGGATGTGTCAAAATGTGCTGATCTCTGACTTAAGAGTTAATGAACATTTGATATATTTCATTGAATAGTGTAACTAGTATGTAAATCAGAAAGCTACTACATAACATTAGTACTCATAAGATCTTGGGAATTTTATTGTGATTCGATCATACATCAACAAATTTTTAGCAAAAAGATTATTATAGCTATCACTCTACATTGCTTAGAAATTATTCTTTTATAATCTTTATAGCTATCACTCTACATTGCTTAGAAATTATTCTTTTTAAAACATTCAGATTTTCACTAATACTTACCTCAATGTTATTATTTAGATCCATATAAACTTGCCTGGTTTCTTCCCGCTCATATTCATCTATTATTAATATAAAATTTTCAAAATTTAATTTTAAAACAATGATGTCAAAAATTCTCAAAAAAAACATTAAAATACTTAAAATTCTTTGTTCATGAAGGGCACTGGGATATCTAATTCAGTTCTGAGTCCTTTGAAATAGCATTGAAAGCCGAAAAAGACTGAAAGGAAAGTGAAGTCACAGAGCAAACTACTGCCCTTAATAATAGAGAAAGGTCCATATAGAACAAATCACAACTTAACCAGGACAGAAATCCAGAACAGAAAACTCTGTGGGAACCACAGCCAGACTACGAAAACATGAATTGCAATTGACAGATGGCTAGAAACAGGGTGGACAGTTTGAGAGATGAAAATTGCAGGGGGACCCATTAAGAGGGAGGGGTTCCAACACTTGTGACATTTACCTCCTAAAGCTCTACCTGATTCTCACAAACAATAGAGAGGAACATTCTCTTGTGCATTAACATGAGGAGGGAAAAAGAAACCATTGGAAATGTTAATGCATCTTTTTCATGGCAGGGCCTGTCTTTGAGAGAAACTATTTTATCAGGGCAAAATCAGCTGGGATTTTATCAGAGTCTAAATGGCCTAAGGGGAAGGGAGAGAACCAATTCTAGCCAGTTATAGATTTCCACATGGAGGAAGAAAAATACCCAACTCCATCCCCATCTAGCTTTCTGTTTAGAAAAAGGGAAATGACAAACTCCAGCCAACCCAAGCCATTTTGTCCCACCTAAAAGAGACTGAGAAGTACTTGCCAAGTTCACAATCCATAGGAAAAGGTTTGCTAAAAGACTGAAACCTAATCATAGGTCTATAGAACACTTCCCCTCTCATTACACCTTACCACAATATTACTGAGGCCTATTTACAACAGTTTCTTGTCCAGCTATTAAAAAAAGTTACAAGGCATAATAAAAGACAAAAAATACAGTACAACAAGACAGAGCAAGCATCAGACCGACCAAGAGTCAGATAGGGAAGAGATATTAGAATTATCAAAGGAGGAATTTAAAACAACTCCAATTACTATGCTATGGACTTGAGTAGATAAAGTAGATGTGCAAGAATAGAGAAGCAGGGGAGTGGGAGAACAGATCAGTGGTAGAGAGCTTTTCCTAGGCTCCCCTGTAACAAGAGATCCTTTAAAATTGAAAGACGTAAAAGAAACACCCACTACTCCCAATCTGTATGATTTAAAGTGCTTTTTGTTTCCCAGCTCCATCTTGGGCTGTGAGTAGAAACCACCCCTACCCCAAGCCCTGGCAGCTCTAAGTCAGGGCTTACACAAACTGACAGAACATACATATGCATAGCATATGATTCTTCTCTGTCTTTTCCTCTATATTATCCTAAAGCTATTGTCCATATAGGAAAGATTTCTAGGCTGTTATCTTCTAAGTTTTGGTTAAACCAAGAATAAATTCATTTCTTTTTTTATATTATAATTTACGCATAATAGTGGGATTCAGTATGCCATTTTCATACATGCACAAAATTTGATCAATCTCATTCCCAATACCTTCCCTAAATTGATTTCTTGCTTACCACTGTTTCCCTCTTTGTTAATGAGACTTATAAGGCATAGGGCTCAAATCTGGTCTGCAGCCTTTGGCAATACTGGGTTCAATCCCCAGCACAACAAAAAAATAAAATAAACAGATAGGCAATATAAGTAGAGCTGGAAACTAAGTAAGAACCAAATCAAAATGCTACCTACCTATCAAGAATAGAAATAGAAATAAAGTACACTAGACATAGCTAAGAAAATAATTTCTGAGCTTGAAGATGTAGTTCAACAAAAATTTCCAAAATGGAAAGCAAAGAGAAAAAAAGACTGGGGAAGAAAAACCAAAAACAACAATCTTCACAAGCAAGAAACTAGAAACTTTCCCTCTAAGATAAGGAAAGAGAAAGGATGTCTCCTTTCATCACTTTTTTAACACTTACTAAAAGTTCTAGTTAATTCAATAAAACTAGAAAAGGAAATAAAAGGGACATGATTAGAAACGAAGAAATCAAACTTTCTTGTTCACACACATGATTTTCTATGCAGAAAATTTAAGACACAAAAAAACAACTCCCAAAATGAACAATTACATCAAGTTTGTAAGAAAACAAAAGTCAATCTCTTTCCTATACAGCAGCAGTGATCTAAAGGGAAAGACTCACCCTGGGTTTAATCCACAGCACCATGAGTAATAATAAGGACAATAATAATGACTTTAACACCAAATATTCAGCCAAAAATTCAAGCAAGAAACTCTGGAGTTACACTATACTATAGAGGGTCTATTTCTGTGGTCTGTTAGTATATATTTTATTGTATACTTCACCATGCATCTTATCTTTGATTGCTTGCTAGAGAATAATAATCTGAGACTTAGAAAAGTCACATTTTACTAGTTGAATGTTTAGCAATTTTTTTTTTTTTTGGGTACTGGGGATTGAACCCAGGGACTTAACCACTGAGCCACATTCCCAACTCGTTTTTTATTTTGAGACAGGGTCTCACTAAGTTGCTTAGGGCCTCACTAAGTTGCTAAGACCAGCTTTGAACTTGCCATCCTCCTGCCTTAACCTTCCAAATCACTGGGATTACATGTGTGCACCCCTACAACCAGCGGCAATTTTTTATTATATTCTAAATCAATACAGCTACTCCTTACTTTTTATTAGTGTTAATATATCTTTTTCTATCCATTTACTTTTAATGTATATATGTCTTTATATTTAGAATGACTATTTTACAGACAACATATAGTTGGGTCTTATTTTTTGTCCATTCTGACAACATTTATCTTTTATCATTTAGACCGTCATCATTCAAAGTGATATATTAATAAAGATGAATTATTATCTATCATATTTATTATGTTTTCTATTTGCTGTCCTGTTCTCGATTCCTATTTTTGTGATATTAGTGCATAATACTGCATAATACTTTAAAAATACTACACTGTACACAGGCTACACTAAATTTATTTTAAGAATTCTTTCTTCAATAATGAACTTACTATAACTTTTTTACTTCATAAACTTTTAATTTTCTTAACTTTTAGACTCTTGTAATACCACTTAGCTTAAAACAAAAATATGCTGTCCAACTGTACAAAAATATATTTTCCTCCTATTTTTATTCTATAAAATATCTTCCATTTTAGATTTTTTACTTTTTAAACTTTTGTTAAAAACTAAGATATGAACATACACATAAGCCTAGACCTATATAGGATTCCACCTCCACATCTTGTCCCAGTGGAAAGTCTTCAGGAGCAATAACACATATAGGGCTATCAACTCTTGTGATAGTAAGTCTTCTGGAATACCTTCTGAAGGACCCACCTGAGGCTGTTTTACAGTTAACTTTTTTTTATGTGTAGGAATACACTTCAAAATAATGATTAAAAATACTACAGCACATACATAAACCACTTGTGCATTTATTATCACTATAAAGTATTACATATTGAACATAATTTTATGTGCCATACTTTTATACAACAAGCAGTGGATTTATTTAAACCAGCATCACTACAAACACAAATAATGTGTTGCACTACAATATTACAAAGGCTACATCTTAGTTGACAGGACTTTTTAAGGTCCATTATTTTTATGGGACTAACATATACGAACTCCATTTTTGTCTCATATTGTTATAGTGCATGCCCTCCAGCAGTATTTTCTCTGATGGACATGGCTATGTCTTGTTCTTGATTCAATTTTGTGGTTATTCCAGACAAAAGAGAAAGTTAATCTAAAAATCACACTAAATGAAATGTAGATTAACTATAAATGCCAAGTATTTGCCAAATATGTTACCTTTTGAAAAAAGTCGTGAACTTTCAAAAAACTTTGAATTAAATAATAACTGAGAATGTAGTTGCTACTTACACAAAGAAATGGTATGAGGCACATAAAACTTATTTGAATTAAAATTAGTTCCAAAAAGGTGAAAAGATAATTTCTTCTCTGCCTCAATTATTCAATAAGTGGATAAAGTCACATAAAACAAGATATTTACATTTCTTTGTCTTCTCTGCAGATCTAGCACAGGTTTCTTTAAGTAGATTACATAAATGCCTCGTAGCATTATTCCTGAAACAAATGAACAAATTTGACTAGGTGTAATCCAATTTCAAAGCAAAATCCCATGTTGAAAATTATGAAACATTCTGTTTCATTGTTTTAATTTTAAAGAAATTTTAAAACATTGTATTTTATATATATACATATCATGTATCGTGCATCACATATATATGAAGAAAAAGTTGAGTGACTACAATATTAGCAAAGATAATTCAGTAACTGCCTCCCTTTAAGTAAAAGTGATAACTCTGTAACAAGTTTCTACCCAAGTTGTTTTCAAGAAACAGTTCCAGATAGAGAGAAATGATGTGTTAAGACTTTTCATTTACTAATTACCTCCAAAATGCTCTAGATGTCTAATCTTCAAAACAAAAAATAAGGTAACTTTCTGACTAGGCCTTCATTACATGAACAACAAAGATTTCTAGCTGTCTTATAGGAGTTACCAACAGACAAAGAAGTAAAATTTAATTTTTCACTCTATAACTTTTCTGTAGGAATGATTGTTACACTGGCAAAACAGGAATTTGACAGTGAGGATCAGCTTGGAACTAAGTTGAGTCCTAGTCTACAGAAAACTAGATAATATCCATAGAAATACAACTTTTCTGACATCAAGTAATGACTCTTCCTGATGCTTGACATTTTAAAAACTGAAAGTCAGTCAGTGACCACAGTTTACCAAACGCAAGAATGCAGAATGGCTATATCTTCCTTTTTCCACAGCACTTAGGTAGAGTTCTACTTATATATTTTTATTTTCTTTTTTGGTACTAGGGATTAAACCCAGGGGTGCTTTATCACAGAGCCATATCGCTAGCCCCTTTCAATTTTTAATTTTGAAAAAGGGACTCACTGAGTTGTTTAGGTGGCCTAATTGCTGAGGCTGGCCTTGAACTTGCAAACTCCCGCCCTCAACCTCCAGAGTCACTGGGATTACAGGTGTGCACCACACCATGCCTGGCTATAAATTAATGCTATATAACACATAGAAAGTGCTCAAAATAGAGGCTGGGGTTATGGATCAGTGGTAGAGCAATTGCCTCACATCTGTGAGGCATTGTGTCCATCTACAACTAAAAAAATATATTTAAATTTTTTTTTAAAAAAGAAAGTGCTCAAAATATTTTGAAAACTATTTTAATGATAAATTCAGTATAAAAAATAAAATTTGGAAAGAACAAATTTACTAAATTATTACTTACTCTTTTATTAAATCCTTATTTTCTTGAATTTCTTCTTCTAATTTCAAACTTACTTTTTCATTCTCAAACTAATTTACAAATGGAAAAACAGTGCATCACATTTTGCTTAGCAAAATAAATATGAGTATAATCATTAAGCAGCATTTCTTTACTGAATATGCTACAACAGTCTATTTTTTTTCTATACAAAAAGGAACTTTTTTCCCACCGCTTATGAATTTCCCATAAGAATATGAGTCTCACTTTCATCAATCTAAAATAGTTTGCTGAATAATCTTTAAAAAGATTAAACTATACTTTAATGCCATGTTATCTTCTCTCATCATTTTCCAGTGATGTTTTAGCTCTGTCTGCATTTTATCAACTTTCTTTTTAACTTTATACTATAAAATCAGTTTTAAATTCAAGGTTATAAATAAATACTATATTCTAATATAATGAAAGACACCAAATAAAACAGTATCAATAGGATTTAAAAAAAAACTATCACAAACTAGTCATTAATCAGTCATTAAAGTAATTTGTTGTTTCTCTAATCACTTGCATTATGTTTGTTACAGCTTGTTCTCTCAAAGTTGAATTATAACCAACTTCAAAAAGCACTATCTTAAAAATCCTCATCACAAAAACAAGACAAACCCAATTTACTTTCAAATAATACTCTATTTTCAATGGTACTAACATTTACTATGTTATATTTATAATTTTAAAATTCACTATACCTGCAGTTCCTGAATGGCTTTTCGCTGTGCTTCAATTATCTTTCTATTTTCTTGCAATTTATTTTCTTTCTGTTTCAGTTCAGATTCTACACTCACTTTCCACTTTTTGATCTTTTCAGCTTCCTTATACAGTTTTGAATATAGTCTGCTCATTGGCTCCGAATTCTGTTAAAATAGATTTTTAAAAATTAATTTTTCAAAATTTTAATAAAAACAAATTACAGATGCCTATTGAAAATATCCATATTCTAATAGTGACTCGATCCTCAATTTATGCTCTAATATAGCATACTGAAAGCTATCTCAACTCCTAAACTACTAAGACAATATTAGCTACTTCACTGAAGTTATTTGTCACTTAACCAAGTTATACCTTACTAAATACAATCAAATAACTAAAATGTGCTTAAATAAGAAGTTAGAAATATTTTCATCAATGGGAGAATCTAGATAGGTAAAACCTTAAATCACTCTACAAGAAATCTGTAAATTTTAACAGTGACCTTGAAACATTTTGATTATAGAAACAGTTTGAGAATTAAGTCAAGAATGTGAATTTTAACCACCATTTGACCCAGTCATCCCACTCCTCAGTTTATATTCAAAGGACTTAAAATCATCATACTACAGTGACACAGCCATATCAATGTTTATAGCAGCTCAATTCAAAATAGCTAAACTATGGAACCAACCTAGATACTCTTCAACAAATGAATGGATAAAGAAAATGTGGTACATATACACAATGGAATATTACTCAGCCTTAAAGAAGAATGAAATTATGGCATTTGCAGGTAAATGGCTGGAACTACAGAATATCATGCTAAGTGAAATAAGCCAATCCCAAAAAACCACAAAGGCCAAATGTTTTCTCTGATAAGATGATGCTGATCCATAGTGTGTGTGGGGGGGGGGGGGGCAGGTAGGGAAGAATGAAGGAACTTTGGATTATGCATAGGGGAGTAAGGAGAGGGGCGGGGCTGTGGGGATGGGAAGGACAATAGAATGAGACAGATATTATTACCTATATACATGTATGATTACCCTACTGGTATGACTCTGTACAGCCAGAGGAATAAGAAGTTGTGCTCCATTTGTATACAATGTGTCAAACCAAATGCATTCTACTGTGATATATAACTAATTAGAATAAAAAATTTTTGAAAAAAAAGGAATGTAAATTTTTTTTTGAGAGAGAGAGAGAATTTTTTAATATTTATTGTTTAGTTTTCGGCGGACAGAGCATCTTTATTTTTATTTGTATGTGGTGCTGAGGATCGAACCCAGGGCCACGCACATGCCAGGTTAGCGCGCTACAGCTTGAGCCACATCCCAAGCCCCAGGAAAGTAAATTTTAAAATATAATGCCAAGAAAAAGAATAGTGAACAGAAGACATTAGTTCATTGAGCCCAAGGTTTTACTTAGATTTTCTGAATTTTTTAATCCACATTATATTGTAAAGATCAGAGGCATTCCTGTTTGGGACTTTCTTATGTTTTTATTACTACATTATAGTTATACACAATATTTTGACATAACCATACACGCAGGGAACATAATTTGCTCCACTTCAGGGGCCAATACTTCCCCTCTCTCTCTCTCTCTCTCCTCCCTCCCTGCCCCCCTCCAACTCCCCCTTCCTCTACTCTATGGGACTTCCTTCTATTCATTTATAGTTTTTTTTTTTAATTGGTGCTTTACAGGTATGCATAAAGGTGAAATTCACTTTGGTAAATTCATATATGTACAGTGCATAATTTGGTAAATTTCATTCCACCATTCCTCCATTTTCTGTTTGGGTTTTTTTTTTTTTTTTTTTTTGCAGTTGCTGGGAATCAAACTCAGGATATAGAGCATGCTATGCAAATCACTTCCCACTGAGTGACACCCTCAGCCTTTCCCCACCCACCACCCACACCAGTCCTGGGGAGGAGACTAAGGGTAGATACACTCCCAGCCTTTAGTTTTATTTTGAAACAAGATCTCACTATGTTGCCCAGACTAGCCTTGATTTATAATCCTCCTGCCTCAGCCTCTCACAAATCTGGAATTATATCCCGGGATCATCAGACCCCTAGTCCCTATCTTATTTTCTTAAACACATTTATTTCTGCTCACTTAGAGCTTTTTAAAGTTTTTGTTGCTGCTGCTGCTCTTGTTATTTTTGTTTTTATACTACTAGGGATTGAACCCAGGACCTCAGACAGCTCTCCAGCGAGCTCCTCCCCCAGCTCTTATTATTGAGACAGGTTCTCATCAAATGGCCTATAATTTATGAACTTTCTGCCTCAGCCTTCTGAACAGCTGGGATATAGGCATGTGCCACTTCACCTGATGGTTTTTTGTTATTAAAATATCTGAAAAGTTTCCGTATTTTAAAATTCTGTGATACTATTACCACAGTAGGACTTTATCAAGCCCTGAAATTTTCCTTCATTTAAAAGACATCTAAACCAGGCACAGTGGCACACACCTGTAATCCCAGCAGCTCAGGAGGCTGACGCAGGAGGATCATCAGTTCAAAGTCAGCCTCAGCAATTTAGTGAGGTCCTAGGCAACTCAATGAGACCCAGTCTCTAAATGAAATATAAAAGGGCTGGGGCTGTAGCTCAGTAGTAAAGCATGCCTTGCATGTGTGAGGCATCCTCAGCACCACATACAAATAAATAAAAGATATTATGTGTCTATCTACAACTTAAAAATCAAGGCATTTACAGGTAAACGGATGGCTTTGGAGAAGATAATACTAAGTGAAGTTAGCCAATCCAAAAAAAAAAAAAAAAAACAAATGCCAAATGTTCTCTCTGATATAAGGAGGCTGACTCATAGTGGGGTAGGGAGGGGGAGCATGGGAGGAATAGATGAAATCTAGATAGGGCAGAGGGGTGGGAGGGAAAAGGAGGGGACATGGGGTTATAAATGATGGTGGAATGTGATGGACATTATTATCCAAAGTACAGTATGAAGACACAAAATTGATGTCAACATACTTTATATAAAACCAGAGATATGAAAAATTGTGCTGTATATGTGTTATTTATATGTGCATATATATATAATAAGACTTGTAATTCATTCCACTGTCATTTATTTTTGTTTAAAATCAATAAAAAAGAACCTATAGAGTTAAATTGTATTGAGTAATTTGAGTGAATAAAGCACTGAAAGGGGAAAAAATGTGTGTGTATGTGTGTGTATATATATATATATACATACATATATACACACATACATTCTATATATATATGTATGTGTGTGTGTGTGTGTATAAATATATACATATAAAATACATAAAAAAGGGCGGGGGATGTGGCTCAGTGGTTTAGTGCCTCTGGGTTCAATGCCCCACATCAAAAAGAGAGAGAGAGAGACAGACACATCTATACACCTTAAGAACATTTTTATAACTAATATCAAAAGTACAGTATGTCAGCTGGACATGGTGGCACATGCCTGTAATCCCATATGTTCAGGAGGCTGAGGCAGGAGGATCATGAGTTCAAAGCCAGCCTCAGCAACAGTGAGGTGCTAAGCAACTCAGCGAGACCCTGTCTCTAAATAAAATACAAAACAGGGCTTGGGATGTCACTCAGTGGTCAAGTGCCCAAGTTCAATTCCTGGTATCCCCCTCCCCAAAAAAAGTATTTCATGTTCTACAAATTCCTTATATAATAAATTAGCCAAATGATCAGTTATGTCTACTAGATTATTTTGTAAAATACTGGCTTGATTCTTAGCCGTTTCACATACTATATCCACTTTCCCTCTTCTAGTCTTGATTTCTATGGTTTAAAAAACTGCACTCCACCCCCAAAAAAATCAGTTACCAAAAAGAAAGAAAAAGAAATTGCCCCTAAAAACTGAAAGCTTTTACAACAAAGTACAGAATCCTTGTGTTTCAGAGACTTTAAAAGACAAAACACAGCTTTAAAGAATACATTGTAAAACATTAATCAATATTAATCCCTTTGAAGTTTCAAAAGAAAGATATATATACAAGTAATAAATCATACTCCAATTATAAGAAAGTTTATAAGAATGGGAAATCTAACCTCAAAATCAGAGCCTTTTAGTCCTTCCTGATAGTGGAAACTGCCAGAATTATCAACCTAAAAAAAATGAATATTTCCTATAAAAAAATATTTGAGAGCTTCCAAATAACAGCAATTAAAAACATAAGACTAGCAATCCAACAACTAAAGAGTTTTTTTTTCTTCTTTAAATAAGCAATTCAATACCTAAATAGATTATATCTATATACTCTATGATTAACTGACCTGCTCAAGCATGGGCAAAAAGTTAACTTTTTGTAAAGCAGGATCTGCAAGTTAAGAGACAACTGATATTAGATAAGCCAACATCTTATTTTAACATGAATTATTACTTCTAGTTTTAATATCAAGGACATCAACTTAATATGTATATTGTATTTTCAACAACTGGCAATGTATATAATAACATGATTCTCTATAAGATGATATATTGTTAGTCTAGGCTCCTACCTGAATCAATGTTTTCCCCATTTTTGGAGAGATTATTTGTTGCAAAAGGAAAACCAAAATCATCTTCAATACACTTGTTGAAACTCTAAAAATACAAAAAAGTTCTTAAGTATATTACTTCACACCACTGTGATATATAACAGTGAGATACACAAATATGTGATATACACCTGCTCAAAGAATTGACTGTAATTATAAATCCTTTAATATACACAAAGTTTAAAATACCAAATGCTTTTGTTAACAAAGCAAAACTTTTAATTAGGTATTTTCACTAATAAAATGAAACTAATGTATAAATCAACACAATCTTTGTAGGTATTTGTAATTATAATTTATTGGGTGGGGGAACCAGGGATTGAATTCAGGGGCGCTCCGCCACTGAGCCACATCCCCAGCTCTATTTTGTATTTTATTTAAAGACAGGGTCTCACTGAGTTGTTTAGCACCTCGCTCTTGCTGAGGCAGGCTTTGAACTTTGAGTCTCCTGTGTTAGCCTCTCCAACCGCTGGGATTACAGACTGGTGCCACCGCACCCGGCTAGATATTGGTAACTTTAACTAGTAGTATGGAATAATATTAGGAGTTTCCTTCATTATGATCTTCACCTCAATAGAACTGAGAATTGTCTTCAATTGAATAACATGTAAATGATATACTCTTTGGTTACAGCAGCCATAAGAAATTTTAAACTACAGCATATAAAATTAAAATATTAACTGCATCATTCCACCTCCAATGAAAAGTACATGAGAATTTTTTTTAATAATTCAATAGTAGAAAAAGCTGCTTTACGTGAGAAATTTGGTATAATTTCTCCTTTCCGTGAGACCTTTACTATATAAGCGAATTTCCATCTTTATCCTATCCACCAGGAAGCTCAGAGCAAAACCTGAAGCTCAGAGCAAAACCTGAAGCTCAGTCACAACACAAATTGTCACCCCTATGGAGGCATTTGTTCAAACATTTCTATTTTCCCTTGTAAAATTTTCTAATTTTCCCCTACTTATATTTCGCTGCAGGGGCCTTATAAGTTGCCTACAATCGCAGGAGGTTAGATGGCCCGGGTAGGCGATGCAGCCGAGTTCTACAGCAGCAGCGACGCGTTCTCTCCTGCGCCCGGGGACCCCGCCCTTCATCCCGCGCAAAGCTCCTGAAAGTCCTTAGGTTAAATCAGACCATACTTACCGAAAAGGGGGGGGGGGGGGAATCACAAAATACTGCCACTCCAAAGTCTGCCTCTTCCGCCATAAGTACAGGATGGCCACTCGCTCGCAAACTCACCTTGAAGAAATTGGCGTCCCCTTCCAGGGTCTGGGGCTTCACTGCCGACACCTGGCTGCTGCTCAGCCGCGGCGGCACGAACAACTTGAAGGGCTTCGGCTTTTCCATTCCGTCCTCCAGCCCCGAGGACCTACTGCCCGGGAGGTGGAAGGCAGGCGTCCCAGGTGCCCGGGTCAGGGCACTGCAGGGTCTGCAGAGGGCGCGGCTCGCTCCCACGGGGCTGGAGGAACGGCCCGCGTGCGCGACCTTCCCTAGGGTCCCACCAGCCCCCCACCGCCAGCCGCCACGCCCGCCACCCACACCAGCTACAGAGTCGAGCCCCGCATGGCGGTGACAGCCCGCGCCCTCCTCAGCGCCCCCAACTAAAATGCAACGCACCGCCCGCCCTCCACCGCCAAGGCAAGGGCGGCTGGCGGAGTCGGGAACCGCCCTATCACCAGGTCGCCCCCGCCCCGGGTTCCATCCTCGGGGAAGGAACTCGGCACACCTGCCCTCACCTTTGAAGAACAAGCGGGTGGCCACGGGCTGGGTGCCACGTGAACTGCCGTCTATGAGGGCAGCAGAAAGAACCAAGAGCTTCCGCCTCCGAACCTCGGAAAAGGCGGGAAATCGCCCCACCTGGGCGGCCACACCCGACGGAGCGGGGCGGGCGACTGGCAGTTTAACGGCTAAATAACGGTCCTCCTGGGAGTAGGCTTCCGGGTCCGCAGAACTTTGTCTCGCGAGATCTCCCTTTTCACCAGGAACAATTCTTTCCCGGATTCTGTTCCTTCGAAGAGTGGACATTCTGGAAACTTCTGCCATTGTCAGGCGCGAGGATAGACGAGCCGGGAGGGACACGGCCCTGCCGGCCCCCTAAGCGCTCACAACCTTAGAAGGTGTTATAGAAGGCTGTGCGAGCATTTAAAGGTGGAATTTATGTAGAGTCATGAAGGTGGCTCGGGAGTCAGGCTTCTCAGGTGCAGTCTGGTCTTGTTTTTTCGTCAATCGAGAATAAAAGAGTGAATAGTTGGTTAGATGAGCCAGGAGGAACCCTAAGAGGAGGCTAAGAGTAGGTGGGCCAAGGCGCTGGGGTTGAGAGGGAGACTCATATTGACGCAGGTGTGCGAGGAAGACCAAGGCGGGAAAGCGCCCGAGGTGAGTGCAGAGGTGAGAGCAGATGGGCAGGCCCGCCGTGCACAGGCGTTTGGGTTTAGACGTCATGGATGGGGATTTTGAAGATTTTATTTTTTTATTTATTTATTTATTTTAGTTATACATGGGCACAATCTCTTTGTTTATTTTTATGTGGTGCTGAGCATCGAACCCAGGGTCTCAAAAGCTCTACCGCTGGGCCACAACCCCAGTCCCAATTTTGAAGAATTTTGAATGGAAACGGTGGTATGATCCGATTCAGAAGAAAATCTGCATTGTGAAGAATGGTTTAGGAGTTTGGGAAGACAGTTTTAACAGCCTGGGTGACATGCGGACCTGGGGTCTGACGAGGGCAGTGGACATGAGGAGGTATCATCTGGAAAAGGTATTTAGGAAGTAAAACGAATGGCGTCTTCATAGAAGAGAGACAAGTCAAACATGAGTACCTGGTTGCAGGCTTAGCTAAGAGAGATTTCATTAGCATGGTACCTAGGTTTGAGCAATAAGATAATGCATTACATTTTGAAGATACTGGCTTTGTTAGAACTTTCTCCAGATATCATCTGATGCTTCTCCAAAGAACTTTAGCAATATATTTTCTTTTTTTACTTTTTAAAACCTTATTTTTTTATGTGGTTGCTGAGGATTGAACCCAGTGACTCACACATGCTAAGCAAGCGCTCTACCACGGAGCCACAACCGCAGCCCTAACAATATTTTTTAATAACCCTTTTTGTATACAGTTACTAGACAACAGTTTCTAATAAAATTATAAAATTTTCCAATTGGAAATGATGATCCGGTTTCCCTCCTTCATTTGACATTTTAAAAAAATTGCACCTAGATGTCCTTTTGATAAGACACTCCTTCCAAGAAACGATGCCAAGAATATACACAAAGTACCCCTAGGGGCAATAATTGATACATATAATTAACACTTTTAAGTCAAGACTATAAATTCAATATTCCAATGTTTTAAAAAGTTTTACATAGTGAAAATTTTAACTGTGGTCTAGTTTTCTTTATTGAAAACCAAAATACTACCTCTAGTCATATAATTACTTAAAGTCACAGGTGTCACTTACTTTTACAGTCTTTGGAAACAATTATGCCAACACAGTTTCTTGGTTCATGTATTTCACGTGAACTTTATTTTTAACATATTACCATCCTATACCTATAAAGACTAAAATGTTTGTGGAAAGTCACTGTTTCTACAAAAGATGTTAGCAAAAATGTTAAAATGTTGTCTCCCAGAATGAGAAGTAAATCATGCTAAATTTCCCAATTAAAACATTTTAAAGAGCTGTTCTTTTGATTTTTTAAGTATCTTTCATCACAAATTTTCCAATTTACTTTATTAAAGACTTCTTTTTTCAAAGACATTTAAAATGTTAGTTCCTTATTCCATCAATCTGGTATTAATTAATGAGATAGAAATTTACTTGTTTTAATTACAATCTTTTTCACTAGATAACCTTTTTTTGATGTCTATAAATTATGTATTTTCAACTAAATGAAAAAAGTAGAGTTTCTTCAGATGATAACTCTTACAGTAATTTTCTTTTGGAGAAACCATGCAGAAACAATAAGAGTTGCTTGTTTTGAGTCCAATCTTGAAAAGAATCCTAGGTGTCCATGTAGTGATAGAAGGATTTCACAAAACTTGATGAGTATTGATGATATCCATTTTATGGTGATATATTGGTAATATAGCTGTCATGTTAATGTTTTTCAAATTAGTCATCCAATTTAGGTACAGAAAAATCAAGACAAACCACAACATTCTAAAATTTCAGCAATGTGAGTACACATTCCATTTCTCAGAAAATAAATTAATAAATTTGGGGTGCTTTGTTTTCCAAGTGCTAAGTATTTCTGAGTAGTTGTGATTCAGAGTTCTCAGTTCAGTTAGCCTCCCTATGAGATGAGCAAAATGCTGTGGGTTTTCTGCATGGTGAATTTTTGAATATTTATACAAAATTTGTAAAATTGGTTCTTGTAAATTCTCCACTTGTTGCTTATTTTCAAGACATGGACGATCTGAAAAACATTATTATATTCATCTTAATGTATATTGGAAAGTGGTAGAAGATAATTAATTCATTTTAAGACAGTGCAGTTTTTAAATAACAAACGTTTGCTGAACCTTTAACATATGCCAAGCATTAAGATAAGTAACTTGCTGGGCTGGGGTTGTGACTCAGAGGTAGAGCACTCACTCAGCAATGTGTAAGGCACTGGGTTTGATCCTCAGCCCCACATAAAAAAATAAAATAAAGATATTATGTCCACCTATAACTAAAAAATGAATATTTTTAAAAAGATAAGTAACTTGCCTCTGTGCATTATTTTATTTAATCTTTACAATACTCCATTAGGGCTGGCTTGGTGGTACAGGCATGTAATCCCAACTACTCAGGAGTCTAAAACAGGAGGATCACAAATTCAAGGCCAGCCTGGGCAATTTAACAATACCCTGTCTCAAAGTAAAAATTTTTAAAGGTCTGAGGGATGAGGTGCAGTAGTAGAATGCTCACCCAGCATTCCTGAGACCCTGGGTTTAATCCCTAGTACCTACAAAAAATATTTTTTTTTTGGGGGGGGGGGTTGTAAGTTCTATTTTTATCACCATTTCTCAGATAATCTTGAAACTTAGAGAATTAAGTGATTTTCATGAAGTCACATAGGAAGGAAGGGTCAGTAATTAGTTTTAAGAATGTAAGAGCAAGCAAGGGCTTACTTGAAGTCTTAAATTATTAATTTCCCAAGACCAACAGTAAGTAAAAAGCAAAGCTTCTTAAGAACTTGCCTATAAAATATAAGTGCCAACCAAGAATTTCATAGTGCTTGGACAGCATTTATTCATCTAGTCATTGTGCCAGAGATACAACAGTGAACATAATAGGCAAAATTTCTTCCCCTCATTGAGCTTATTCTGGGTTCAGGAGAAGTAGGGGAGGAAAGAGGCATATACATATTTTTAAAAGTAAAAATATAACATAGCATAGATGTAGTGTAAGGAAAATAAACAGGAAAAGAGATAACAATTTATTTCATTGTTTGTTTATTTATTTTTGGTACTAAGGAATTGAACCCAGGGTGCTTAACTACTGAGCCACATTCCCCAACGCTTTTTATTTTTATTTTGAGACAGGGGCTTGCTAAGTTGCTTAGGGCCTTGCTAAGTTGCTAAAGCTGGCTTTGAACTTGCTATCCTCCTGCCTCAGACTCCTGATCTATTAGAATTACAGGTGTGCACTACCACACCAGGAAGGGAAAGTAGCTATTTTTAAAAGACTGATCAAAGATAAAATGACACTTAGCAGAGATTCAAAATGGTGAAGGAGGGAGTCATATGTCTATCTGGAGGAAAACATTTCCAGGCAAAAGACTTATCAAGCATAGTAGAACCTGTGGCAAGAAACTTCTTGAAATTTCCATGGAACATCTGTGTCAAAAGCAATGTGCTAGGCAACTCTGTTGGGTCCCCTCTCACCCTGAAAGAGTTCTGTTTATATACACACTTAAATAAATACTACTCTTACACTCATCCTGGGGGAAAAAAAAAAAGGAATGTGCTAGGATGGAGTAAAACAGAGATAACAGTAAACAATAATAGAAAGAACTGTGGCTTTAATCTGTGTAAAATGGAAGTAATTGAAGGACACAACAGAGGAATGATCTGACTTATATTTTCAAACAATTCCCCTGGCTTCTACATAAAGAATAGATTCTAGAGAAGCAAGCACAGAATTACGAAAGTCAGTGAGGAAAGTAGTTTCGATTAGGGTGTTAGCTAGAGATAGTAAGAAATCATTAAGTTTTAGATATATTTTGAGGATTTAGCCAAAATGATTTGTTTTGTATTTGTAAGAAAAAGAAAGAAACAATTTTGGTTTATGCAGCTTAAAGATGGCAATACCAGCTGGGGATGGTGGTTCACACCTGTAATCCCAGTTACTGGGGAGTGGAGAGGACAGAGCTAAATTTGACCATAGAGAACTCATGAGTAAGAGGAGACAAATAGAAGCAGCAGCATAGACAACCCTGTTAAAAAAATTTTTTTCTATAAAGTGGAACAGAAGAATGGAAGAAAAAATGAATGGGAATGTGAGGTCAAGAAGGCATTTTTTTAAGATGCAAGAAATTACAACATGTTCATAAGCTTAAAGGAATGCTCCCACCCACTTGAATCAAAGTGTGAAATATGATATATCAAGAACTATGTAATGTTTTGAACAACCAACAATAAAAATTTTTAAAAAAAGGAATGCTCCCATAATAAGAAAATTATGGTAAAACAAAATTGGTGCATTTGGATGCAAATGATAATTTAATAACAACCAACTTTATGATTTCATTGCTAAAATTTAATCCAGGCTTTTACTGCTTGCTGTATGGTTTTTACCTGAAAAAAGCACAGCCATTGCTGCAAGTAAAGCATATTCAGTATTAGTTATATAAAGTCCGCTGATTCTTCTGTAGAAGTAAAACAGTGAGGTAATAAATTCTTCAGTAATACCTATGAAGATTAATATAAAAACAGATTTTCATTTGAACATAGTGCAGAATCAAATATTATTATTTTCTCAACATAGTGTAAGAAAATGAAACATTATATCTAACAATTTTTTTCTATCCTATATAATAGTTTGTATTATGCGTAATATTACCAGTTAAAGTAGCCGAAGGACAGTCTTCATTCCAAAATTTGTCCATAGAATAAATAACACTTCTATCACCACTCTGATTGTGACCATTCAATGTATGAGCTGCATGATTTGATAGTCTCATAGTACCTAGTAAAAGGGAAAAATATAAAGCCTGACTTTTTTCTCTTTATATAGATAGTAAATTAAATCTCTTTCAGAATCCAGAATGGCAGTTAAATGAGAAACATTCTGAACAAATGGTAGCTCATATTTATAGAGAGAGATTGTAGAGAAGGCCCTCTAACATGTGTTTTCCATGATACCATATGCTCAACACAGTGGCTTTTTTTTTTTTTTTTGGTGTTGAGTATTCAACCTAGTGTCTTACCACTAAATTAAGTCCCCAGCCCTATTTGTTTTCATTTTGAGACAGGTTCTCCATACATTGCTGAGAGTCTCAGTTGCTGAACTTGATCTTGAATTAGTGATTAGACTGTCCCCTGAGTCACTGAAATTACAGGTGTTCACTACTGCCCCCAGCAAGGATGACTTTCTTTAGGTTGGATTCAAGATGGTAGACTAGAGGAAGGCTGCATACATGTTGCTCTGTGACCTTTGATTCAAGGAGCAGAAATACTGCTTCTCTGCAAGGTGGATCAAAGAGGGATTTTACTAAAACTCAATATTGGACAGTCAGTGTTTTAGAGACTCAGAAATTTGGATCCATTAAGAAAGAAAAAAAATTACATTGGAGTCAAGCTTGAAGGCTATGGAAAATAACATCCCCCAAGAAAAGAGAAATGACAGCCACCAGGGAGAAAAGGAGGACAGTGTGATCAGGGAGGGGAGGAGAGGAAGGCAAACATTAGGCCCTGAGCTATGGGCTTTCATCCTTTCTCAAAGATATTTATCCCAGTAACAAGGAGTTTCAAGCTTTTACAACTGTTTCCCTGAGATGAGTTTCAAGCTTTTACAGCTGTTTTCCTGAGTTAGATTTTAACCTGCACAACTAGTTTCCTGACTGCCCAGCCAGCACATCCCAAGTCTCTAATGATTAAGTCACACTAAACATTCTGCTGTGATTAACTCTCATTAAAACCTACGAAACACAGACCTCCTCTTGTAACCAGTCACCATTTTCTCCCCTGAAAATATGCCATGTGCTTAAAAAGGCAGCTTGCTGATCTTTGAGGTCTGCTCCCATTTTTAGTTATTTTTGCTTACAAAGCTGGTTTGAGCAGCAGCAGGAGCAGTGCTGGTTCAACACAGGAAGGAGAACTCAGAGAAACACAATGGACAGATTTAGTATAGAAAATCCGAAGAGCAGAAAAACAGCCTTCCCTTAGCACTGTACACTGGTGCCTGAAAAGCACCTCATGTTTCCCAACTGACCATGGAGAGCTGAGGCAGTAGCTATCTTGAGGTGGCCATGTTGTAGCTGCTGCTGAGGGAAACAGGAGATTTAAGCAAAGAGGGTTCACATTCCTAGCAAGTGCCTGCCTCATGACCTAGAGAAGATCATACTCAGGGGGATTGAAGTAAGAAAAGTGAAAGGGTCAAAACTCTGGCAGCTCATGAGAATAGCTGAAGTTATAAGTGTGAAAACACTCAGGGACTAAGCCTGCGAAGACGGGAAAGGCTGTATTTGTGAGCAGCAGAGTAGGTGAAGGATTGGCTCCTGGATCCATTAACAGAATCCTATGGAGACTCCTGAGATCCAGACTCTCAGCAGAAACTGGCAACTAGCAGGCTCTAGGGGTATGTTGATCTAATCTCTCCAGAGCAGATGCCACCCAATAAAACTTGTGAGGCCTAATTAGACCTAAACTCCACCTTCTAGAACTCCACTCATAGAACTCTGCAGCAGTCCCACCCTGGGAATACATCTTTTCTTCTGCTAACAAATTCTATTGTTCCCTCTTCCACTCTTCCTTTAATTTTTTACTTCTATTTTTTCTACTCCTTCCTTATACCATCACATCCTACATCTGTTCTGCATTCTCTCTATTCACGTTTTGAAATTGTAAACTCTTTTTTCAGCCTTTCTATCACATTTTCTTTTATCTTAATTAACTGCATTCTTAACATCTTTTAACACTAGTTGGTTTGTACAATGCCTGCCCCCACCACTAATGCTATTGCAATTATTACTGCTGTGAATGTTATAGTTGACCTGTAGTTTGATTTAATACCAGATATAATATACGGTTACTTATTGTTTTTTCTGATGGCAATTGCTGATCCTACCATTTCTTGGTTTTTGTGGCAATTAATTTATAGATGTCATAGTAGGAACCAAGTATTTAGTTTAATGCTGTATATTGTTTGCATTGATTATTGCTATTATTTGCTTCCCCCTAATTGGTGAGGTACTGGAAACCTACAGAGATACTACAAGTTCACAGGGTAGAAATTCTGCTGCTGAACTAAATTCAACCAAAAGACAGCACACCTTGCTCCACTTTAATTATTGACACTCAATCTTCAGCTATACTTTACCTCAAAGAATAGAAAAGACAAAAACCCAAATGAAAGACCAGGCCCCAAGTAGAAACAGCTAGATGTGGGCCCCCATATCCCATCTATGGACATCCATTAACATAGAGGAAACAGTGAAATAACAGAAAGCCTGTGGATACCACACATATGAGGGATCTCAATCCAGATCACTCTAGGACACTTTAGCAACTGAAGAATGTGCCCTAAGAAAGGAGCAATCAATGCATCAACTGAGCAAAAGAGCAAGACCTGTGAAAATAGGAGAAAATAGGCAAACAAAATTCCTCCAAAATCCACAATCCCACAACAAAGGGACCTACTGATAGTGAAGTAGATGAAAACCCAGAAAAAGATTGTAAAAAACAGCCAGGTGACATGGTGCCCACCTGTAATCCCAGCAGCTCAAGAGCCTGAGACAGGAGGATCACAGGTTTAAAGCCAGCCTCAGCAACGGCAAGGCAATAAGCAACTCAGTGAGACCGTGTCTCCAAATATAATACAAAATAGGGCTGGGGATGTAGAACAGTGGCCAAGTGTCTCTGGGTTCAATCCCTGGTACAAAAAAATAATAATAATAGAAAAAACTGATTATTGGGGCTGGGTTGTGGCTCAGTGGTAGAGTGCCTGCCTAGCACGTGTGAGGCCCTGGGTTTAATCCTCAGCACCACATAAATAAAATAAAGATATTGTGTCCAACTACAACTAAAAAGTAAATATTTTTTTAAAAAGCTGATTATCTCATGTTCAATGAACTAAAAGAAGAACTAAGGAAGGAATTAAGAGAGCAAACATACAAGATAAAGTCCATTTTAATAAAAATAGAAATAGTGAAAAGAAGCCAAGCAGAACTCCTATAAAATAAAAACAAGATTGATCTAATTATAAACTCACTTGAAGATATCAGTAACAGATTAGATGGCATAGAAAATAGAACCTCAGGCCTTGAAGTCAGAATTTCAAGCATTGAAGACTGTCTATATGATCTTGAATACACAGAAGGCAGTAAGGGGAAAAAATATAGAACATGATCAGAATATATAAGAACTCTGGGACAACTTAAAAGATCAAATCTGAGAATCACTGGGATAGAAGAGAACTCCAATAGAGATACACACCAAAGGAATAAAGAACATTTTCAGTGAGACTTTCATCAGAAATAATTTAGACATCCACATACGGGACACTTAAAGGTCCCCCAATAGCCAAATGAGAAGCTTACTGATACATATCATAAGCAAAATGCCTTACATAGAAAATAAGGAAAGAATATTTAAAACTGAAAGAGAGAAATAACAGGTCACATTTAAAGGCAAACCAATATGGCTCACTTCTGATGTCTCTACTTAGACTCTAAAATCAAGGAGGCCCCAGAATGAGATATCCCAAACCCTAAAAGAAACCAACTATCAGCCAAGGTATAATCAGCAAAACTTAGTTTCAAATTAGAGGGGGAATAAAAACATTCCACGACAAGAATAAACTAAAAGAATTCATGATAACCAAACCAGCACTACATGGAATGCTCAAACTTCACACATAGGAACAACAACAAAAAAAAAAATTTCCATGCCTGGTGTGGTGGTGCACACCTGCAATCCCAGTGACTCCAGAGTCTGAGGCAGAAGGATCATGAGTTCAAAGCCAACCTCAGCAAAAGCAAGGCCCTAAGCAACTCAGTAAGATCCTGTCTCTAAATAAAATAAAAAATAGGGATGTGGCTCATTGGCCAAATACCCCTGAGTTAAATCCCCAGTACAAAAAAAAAAAAAAATTCAAAAACCTAAACACAGTGGAAGTTCAATAAAAGAATGATCCACTAAATGAAAAACAAGGCAGGATTAAAATATAGCAAAAAAAAAAAAATGGCAGGAAACCATGAACACATATCCATACTACCACTAAATGTTAATGATCTCACTTTCCCAATTAAAAGATACAGATCAGCAAAATATATCAAAAAACAAAACCCAACTATATGCTGTTTACATGAGATGTATCTTATAGGCAAAGACACCCACAGGCTAAAGGTAAAAAAGTGACAAGAAGTATTCCAAACATATGGTCCAGGAAAACAAGCAGGAGTAGCTTTTCTCATATCCTGACAAAGTACATTCCAAGAAAGAATTAATCAGAAAAGACAAAGAAGGACATTACATTCAAGTAAAGGGAACAATCCAACAAGAAGATATAACTATAGTAAACATTTATGCCCCAAAGTTCAATGCACCCAATTACACACACACACAAAAATACTCCATGACATTAAATTCCACATAGACCCCAACATAATAATACTGGGGGATTTCAATACACTCTTATCACAAATAGGTCATCAAAACAAAAAATCAACAAAGATATCTCAAACCTAAACAAAACTATAAATCAAATGGACCTAACAGCTTAAGAATATTCTATCCCAAAATAGCTAAATTTTCCTTCTTCTCAGCTATGCATGAAACTTTTTCCAAAATAGATCATATTCTAGGCCACAAAGCAAATCTTAGCAAATATGAAAACATTAATAGAATACTATGTATTTTATCAGATCATAATGAGATGAAATTACAAATAAAGAACAAGAAAAATAATAGAAACCATGTAAACTCATGGAGATTGAATTATACTTTCATAAATAACGATGTATCAAA